GCCAATCCTTCTTTCATCCGAAACTCGCTATATAGCTTCAGAGCACTTTGGAATTTCTCCGGAGGTATAGGTTTCTTTTCGACACTGGCAGCATGGGTAGATGAAGAAGGAGACGATGTCTGGCTTGATGAGGTGTTCACCGATACTCTTTTCCGATGAGATCGAGGCCCAGGCGAAGGTGGCCGCAGATATGGATATGATGGTAATCCTCCACGAAACATTTTTGTGGGCTGATCAGGAGTAAATGACTTCAACCGTTGGTTGTGACTCTTGGGTGGTAAATGTTGAATTAAAGTAAGGCTGAAGCCTAAAAGATTGGATCGGAAAGGATACAAGAACAGAACCGGGCACAATGATGTTCCTGTGCTGGTAACCGTATATTATGAAGGAGTAGCCAAACAATGAAGAAACTGACAGGACACAGTTCGCAGATGAAAAAATCTATACACAGCTGTCAATAGAAGGGGGGTGCATGCTGGATAAGTATTCAGTGTGAGATGAGGCTGGCCACGCGGTACTCAATTGATCCAGCGCCCCAAGCATTTTAAACGAACCTATCCACTACTACAGGGATTTCGGTGAAGTATGCGACGTTAACGCTAGTCAATGAAGAGGATATTGACATTGAACATATAAAAACACATTGTCACGAATCAATCAAATGATGTTGACGTTTGAATAACAATGGGACGAGCTGCCAAGGGACGGTGAAAGCTTGCTTCGCAAATGAAGGCGGTGCAAGTGCTTGCTCGTTCTGATTACTAGCGAAATTGGAGTGGAGATAAGAGATGTTCTGGAAGTGTGGCTGGTTCAATCTGTACTTTGAGAGACAAGGTATATTCTGCTATCATTGTGAAAACAGTAACATTTGGTACACCAAAGAACCTCCTATTACAATTCAGCCGTAAAATAGCTAAGTCTCAGTCCGATTCCTAGGTACGAGGCAGCATTACGATACTTGCTACATGTAGCGATTGTTCAAAAAAGCGGCGGCGACTACTTGTGTGGCGAAGTAATTGATTATTTGTGGAGGAAAGACACGACGATTGTGCATTCTGAAACGCAGAAGCCCGCCCTATCAACGCCCTTAAAGCACCAATGCCCAAGAGTTCCCAAGTAATACGAGCTTTTGCGACTTCCTCGGCTCTTCACGGCTGGAGGTAATCTCTTGAATGCGGTTGGCCGATAGGAGCTCATAGTTTGATAAAGACTGTTCTCATTTGACAATCGGAACTTGACGTCAGGATGAAGTGGCTACTCCATGGGTTCATTAGATAAGTAGATAATCCAAATAGTCTGGTGGGGCGAGCGATAAGGCGCGGATAGCATAGCATAGCATAGTTCTTCACGACTGTTGTATAGGCGGCCTCCATGGTCCAAACAAATCAAAGGATTCTCTGCTCCATGGCCCTTTGACGTCTCGTTCATTCCCTAAATTCCCTAAATTCCCTGTTATGTCGTTTGTAGTGTTCCTTCCGCTTCCGAGGCCTCCAAGAATGGCCGCGGGTGGACCCATTTGATTGACAGGTGGAGATAGTGCGTGCAGGGTTCTCTTGGCAGTCTTTTGAATTGACATTCCACGAGTTGCGGGGTTCATGATTCTAGGCCGTGAAGGACCCTGATCTCCAGAAGTGAAGGCCTCTGAAGTACGATTTTGTGATTCTTTCTCTGCTATCTGATTTGCTGACATGAATCCACTGGTTTCATCATTTCTTGTTTCTTCGACGGAAAAACTGTCTGGAATTGAGCTTGGTGACTGCTTAATTTCGACATTTTTGGAAGATTGTGCCACTGTGAAAGAAGCCGCAGTTTGGTCAATCAGACTAGAACTCGTCTTGATCAGGGATTTCTCCACTTGATGCTGATTCCGTGTCGGTACTAATTTGGTCATGAAGCAGCCAGTCGCATTAAAAGTAGAACCATTAGATGTCATGCCTACCAAGATCTTATCTGAGTCGACAACGTTCGAGTGCATACAAGTTGCAACAGCAGCATTTGGTGATACTGTGACTGTTTTTGATGCCAAAATAGTGGAATCGTTTTTGCTCGCAATGTCGGAATTGGGATGTGTCGTAGTTTTTGGAAGTGCCAAGTTTTGTTGGAGGGCACATGGTGCAGAGGTTATCTTTTTTGCAGGGTTTGGTATTATGAGAGAATCGTTATTAGGGAGATGAGGATTATAGGTAGAGTTAGAAATTGCTGTCGTGTCTGTTTCTGTAACTAAAGGTGGCACATTGGATTCTAGACGCGTCTCGACATTTTCAGTCGTTGAAGCCCGGTCCGAAGCAGTACCTTTATGCAGGCCAGTAAAATTTCTGGATTGTTTCTGGGTAGTTATTGACGTCTCGGGTAGAGTTTTAGGTGATGTTTGTAAAATAGGTTCACGATCTTGAGTTTTCTGTTCGATTACCTGAGGAATCTTCTCATTCAGGGTCGTGAGATGTTCTAAGCCAGACTGCCCAGACCTCTCTTCAATGTTCTCCGATTGACATTGTTTTTTGGATACTGAATATTCTTGGTCTTCTCTCGTGGCCGGCGCGACTATAGGTATAGATTCCTGAGCCTCTGGAGGACGAGTACGACACAGAATAGCATCTATTGTTTGATGGTTGATACCAATGTTCCCTGGAGAGGACAGAGGCTCTTCGAGATCACTAAATCTTAGACTGTCCTGACATTGTGAGATTTGCGGTCCATCGGTTCCATCATCATTGACCGAATTGTTTCCTAGATCATTATCAATCGCCGGCCTGCGAGGCGAAGATGATCTCACTATTGGCAAGACATGCTTTAGCTCGGTATATCTGGTGGTCTCTTGTTCTAGTGACAATTGAATAGATTGGGTGCTGGAAGATGGTATCGCTGGGCGAATCACAGAATCTAACTTGCTTGATCCGCTGACTCCCTGTAATTCTGACGGAGAAGATCGAGAGCCGAGTTGATCCATACACATCAACATCTTATTGCGTGGGCGAGACTTGATACGTAGAGACGAATGAGATCTTTCTTGTGGCTTGTTCAGTGGTGAAGCATTGTTTTGAGACTCCAGCTTTGTACTCGATACTTTTGCTACTTGTTTAGGTACTGGTGTAATTGCTGATGGCGAGGATAATAATCGCGGTGTCTGCTCAGATATGTTGGGTAGAGATTCCTTCTTCTTCCGGGCAACTTCCCTCGGCTTTGCTACTGAAATTGAGCGGCCATCTTCGTCAGAGCTTGTATCCATTGACAAGTCGATTGTTTTCGGTTGCTTCTTCTGCACGACTACATGCCTTTCTGTATTTCTAGGCGTAGCTTCACGAAAAGACGAAAGTGATAGAGATGCTCCGGTGAGATTGCTAGCATATCCACTTTTCTCGGGCTTATCTCTCTTTCTTGCTTGCATTCGAACTTTAGAGGAAATTACATCCCTAGTGATGTGACCTGCCAGACCTTGTCTTCCGCTTGACAGGATGTCTTCATCATGATCCACATTTTCTTTAATATCGTTAACATCTGGTCGTTGGACTGTCTTCAGCTTCAAGGACTCATATCTTATAGGTCCCGCGCTCGATGGTGTCGGCGTAAATGACAAAGTAGCCCCCATGAGATTTTGCGCAAATCCATTTTTGGGTGGCGGCTCATTTACCTTTCTTCTTTTCGTAGGCCTAGGACTTTCGGTTTCGCTGGCATTTATGGCATTTAACATCTGCCGTTGTTCGAATGGAGACGTCTTTGACACAAGTGCCTTTCCATAATGACCGGAAGGTGTGCCGAGTATAGAGTTGAGTGGTTTCGGCTTTGAATGAGCTGCAGCAATAGTTTGCGATCGAATGACAGATGCTGCGGATCGTGCCGGTGATGAGTCTCCGTTTCTTGCAATAAATCTCTCCTCCCTTTCTTTAACTCTTTTGTCAATGAGCTCGGTAAGATCTTGGTCCTTCTTCTCCATAAACTCCGACACTTCGACCAATATTCCATTTCTTTCCAACTCCAACTCGGCCCCTTCGTCAAGTGGAGCTTTTTCGCGCCAATGTGCATCTCCTACCAAATTCGATCTTTCGTCAAACACCATAACACGCTTATTGAAAGTGTGATATTTGAGTCGCCCATCTTGCCAACGCTTCTGTTTTCGACGGGTATCAGCTGTATAGAGGCAACGAAATTCGAGGACTGGAGCGGTATTTTGATCTGGGGGAACGTCCATAGACATGGCAACATTGGCGGAGGCCGTCATTTTTGGAGAGTTGAGAATAATCGATATGACTCATAGTGTCAAGAGGATTGTCAAGCAGTAGGTAACTTTTAAGGGAAAAGTCCCTCTCGTGCCTGAAAATCAATCTTTGGATTTCGTTGTTTCCTTACGTGACGCGAAACCTGGCAATGTCACTCTGATCTAACGCGCCGACTCCCCGCTAACACGTGCTGATAACTGGAATTCCCGATAACGGATCTGTTATATTGGTGTCAGTCATTGAATTAAAATTTGCAGATTATATAACTGGTGACTAGGTGTAAATATCAAGACTTAAAATAATAGGCATTAAAAGTTGAATTGGGAAATGGGGTCTTTTATACAAATAATGACAATCTAATTAATAAGAAGAAGAACTCATTTCAAACTATAGCCCTATCCTATCGACACGATCAGAGGGGCAAAAGGATGAAAACCATAAATGTGTATTGGAACTTCATTGTTTGAGATTGAATTTGAAGTCTGGAAATCTTGGATTTAGTTGAACATTAATGTTTGTGTATTTCATGAGCGGCGATGAATCTCGAGGTGAAAATCATGGGCTATTCCCCTGGATGATATCTTCATGTCGGCACCGAGTTCTTGAACTGTGTATACTATCTACCCAATCGTTATGTTGCCACGCGTTTCAACTGCCATTTAAGGTATTGAATGGTCCACAATTTAAATTGTAGAAGAGTTGTTTAAATGTACTTAAGTCCAAAGACCCCCTGGATAAAAGTTTGGATACTTGCTTGAAATTCTATCGCTCATCTATACTTTCATTATGTTGACCCCTTTTGCCTCGTCGCTTATGCTGCTCCTGCCAGCTCTGGCAACCGCTCGCGTGGCACATCAATCTCGAGCTCTTGTCAATAGCACTGTGTGTGCTCCAGTCCATTTGATTATCGCCCGTGGAACGACTGAGAGCTACCCTGGGACTCTCGAGAGCTTGGCCGGGTTGATTACCGATGCCAATCCAGGCACTGATTACGAAAGTGTTATCTATCCTGCTACGGACGAGACTTCCACAAACAGCTATGCTGAAGGGCTTGTAGCTGCTCAGGACCAGTTTACTGCTTATGCAGAGTCATGTGAAGATTCGAAAATTATCTTCCTAGCCTACTCTCAAGTGCGTTATCTTTCTATAAGATGTTAAATCTAGGCTAATTCGAAGAGGGTGCTATGGTTGTTGGAGACATGCTAGCTGGTGGAGGCGGAGATGAGATTCTCGGTGCTGGAAATGGATCACTCCCCATTAACTCGAGAGTTGGGGACCGCATGACAGCTTTAGTCCTTTATGGTGATCCAAGACACATCCCCAACGAGAGCTTTGATGTCGGGAACAACAATGTAACTGGCGTAAGTAACGCTGACAGAGCCACGGCATATCATGGTCTAGAAGCCGGAAAAAATATGAGCAAAAGAAGTACTGACCAATTCCTAGAAATATCCATGAACTGCTTCACAGATTTCGGTCTTCGAAAACCAATATGCTTCAAAGATTGCAGACTACTGCAATGTTGACGATCCAGTATGTGCTAGCGGTACTAATCTTACAGCTCATCTTGTATATCCTCAAAATTGGGATATCACCGCTGCTGCTTGGGTTCAGACTATGTTAAAAGGATAATCGATACCTTACTGCTTGTATTCCAATATGTAAACCCCTAAGAAAAAGCCGGACCAAGGACGTTCGATGAAGAATATTCACTAAGCAACCGACTAATAAATAGTCGTTGGATGGGGATAGACCCGAAAAATGGTACCCACTAGCTTATATAATGATAGCCCCCTAATCCACTAATCCATGGTCCAAAAATATGACGGGTCGTTCCAGAGTCCAGACTAGTATTATAAAGATAGTTCATATCGTATGTTATGATCGCTTCACTATGTTTCGACCGGAACATTGTGAGGGTTTGTGACTTTCATACGAGCTGTTTATAGATTCGTTTTAGATATGGATACCTAGGTACCTACCTAGTATGTACTTGCTAGAAAAGGAAGGAAGAATCTTTAACAAATTATTAATTTCATGGATCAATTAAGATATCTGACGTGATCCAGGAGGCTCATTGTCCTTGAAACAAGAAATATAGCAAGCCGCTTTTACATTCAACAGTGCTGAAATGGAGATTCTCATTCGAAGTCCAGATGGGGTCGAACATTGAGGTTTTGAACTTTAAATACCGTATTGGGATAAGGATTGAAGGTTGATTCAGCAATCTTAATCACTCTGGAAAAGAAACCCCTATAGACACGTACCTGTATCATTGTTATAACGTAAACGTACTGTAATTACACTCGTATGAATACCTGATAGGAGGGGACTACCTAGGTACTCTCTGGGCAACCAAATTATGTCACTCCAAGTCGGGAGGCTGGTTTCTGTTTAAGGAGGCACAGGCCATTCATCTCAACCCCGCGAACCGGTTGGAGTTTCAGTACATCTTTTTGGTGCTGCTTACCTGGCGAGCCTGGGTAGTATTTTCCAAATGAAATCCTACGATACAACTCCAAAAAAGATCATTATTAGAGACACTCACTCCACTAAACTTTCTTTAATCCATTAACGGGGCTGTGTTTGAATGTTGCAAATCTCATCAATTGATTTATTGACAGCTGTCCCTACTGCGAGGTATCAACATTGAACATCTTCTTAATCACCCGAAAATCAACTGAGTGGAATTCATTCATTTCTCTATCTTGTGGGGATAAGTGGCACGTATTGACAACTACTATCTCATTGATACATTCTTTCACACACAAAATGAATTCTATGCACCGGCAGATTGGCAAGATCAGGCACAAAGGTCCTGGTGATACTGCCAAAGTATCTGTACTTTTGAGCGATTACGAAGATGCGAATAAAATGCTCAACATGGTAAGTTGCCTGAACGTCGCGCCATATGTTATCGCTATGTAGTACATTACTGATATACATAAGTAGATAATTGAAGCTTCGAAAGCATGGAGAGACGCATGGGTGTCTATACTTTCCTCTCAATTAAATACAGCTCTAAGTTTCGAGGAGTTATATCAGCCCATTGTAGGCACCAGCGATGCTCATCGAGACAATCCAGCAGTTACCCCTCGCCAACAAATGGAGCGAACTATCAAATTGAAGGAAACATATACGGAACTAAAAACAGATCTACTGGAAGAAGTTATGATGATGGATTCTCGAGTTACAAAACCAGCTACGGAAGCAAAGGACTTTCTACAACCTATTCGAAAGACGATCAAGAAACGAGAAAACAAAAGATTAGACTGGGAAAGATATATAGATAAGGTCAATAAAGGGTCTGCTAAGATGAAGAGAACTGATCGAGAAAACGCCGCTTTGGCAAAGGCTGAAGAGGAACAAGGCAGGGCAGCAGAGGTTGGTACCTGAATAACCCTTCCATCGCCGGAGGGACAGTTTTTTGAGGCTTCAAATATGCACCAACACAATCATCACACCAATACTTAAGAATGGGTCCTCAAGAGAATTGCCCCTCCCGACCATTGCAGGGACATTGTCAACGAATGAGAGTAGTACTAATTGATATCCAGGCATTTAAAGATGCAGACGCTCATCTCAGAGAAACGTTACCACCTATAATCGCTGCAGCTTTTTCGATCCTACCACATTTACTTGCCGTACAAATTATGATTCAGAATACGCTGCTCGCCCAATACTACACAGCATTGCACAACTACTGCGAAGATGTAGGCCTCCCTTCTCCTCCACCCCCGATGGAAGATGTCATCGCAGTCTGGAATCAAGACTATCACCCTATAAAACAAGAAGTCGAACTCATAGATTGTATCCGCCGCGGCAAAGCCGTTCACCAACCCATGAACGTCAGCGACGAAAGTGCAAATCCAAGCTCAAATTCAAAATCCATAACCGGTCTCAATGTCCGCAATGGATTTTCCCGTCGTCCCTCGAACCAATCTATGAGCACAAACCGCGATCCATCTCCCAATCCAAGCATCTCAACCACATATTCCGACGCGCGATCTCCTAGGCCCGATCGTCCACCCCCTATTCGTTCTACCTCTCGTCCTCGTATTCCATCAACCCAACATACAGTCCCCGTTTTCTCACCACCTACAACCTCTGACAACGACTACAATGAGCCTATTCAAACCCCAACTCCTAGCGACTACTCCAACCATCTCACACCTGTCTCTACGCATTCCTCCTCTTATGCTCCTGCAGGCCCATCTCTGGATTATTTTCAGCGCGGGTCAACCAATGAAGGCGTAGCAGTGAATTCTGCAATCGGAAAGAAGAAACCTCCTCCCCCTCCCCCAAAGAGACTGGGTTCTTCTCATGGAGGCGTTTTTGTGGTAGCGCTTTATGATTTTGAGGGCCAAGGACAAGGAGATTTGAGTTTTAAAGAAGGTGATAGGATTAAGGTTACGAAGAAAACAGGAAGTACAGACGATTGGTGGGATGGAGAGTTAAGGGGGGTGAAAGGGAGCTTTCCAGCCAATTATTGTAAGAGTGCTTAGTGGCCTGGGCGCGAAGTGGGAGTGCATATTCGGGCTGAGTCGCTGGAGCGCGTGGGAGTTATGGCAAGAATCGCCTGAAAGAAGGACGGTATGCTTGCTCTATGCTATGTTATGAGAGAATCACAGGTATCTAACCACCTAGCTCAAAAATATATGGACGGAGTTTGGTCTCCTGGATGGATGAAATGGATGGACAAATCGATTCAATAAACCTTTTTATACCACCTACCTATATTATACTAATGGTCACTCAAGTTTGACGACATTGAAATGAGAATGAACCTCCGAGTGAGATTGCAATGGAAATGGGTCATTTGGCCATCACATACATTTACATCAAAATAGCGAAGAAACCACACTTCCGAAAAAGGCCAAAAAAATAATTCAATTCAAAGGGTATACTATGCTTTCGCTATGCCCATTTGTTCGCCATGCCTGCGATACCTGTAATACCATGCTATACCCAAATTTCCACAGGTATATCCGAATACGCTGCACGACGCTACGCTATTTTATGCTATGCTATATCTATAATTGTCTGCACGCATCACCATCTGAAATGTGAATGCGAGAACTTTCGAATCAAGTGTTTTGTTTCTGTTCTATTGACAAAAGAAATCTTGTAAAGGGGGGGTATCTTTCCATCCATGCGATCAATCATTCGTATAAGTATCTTCCTGCTGCAACCATTCTAGGCGTCCTGTCCATTCTGTACGATCATGAGATATTATCCGTCATCTGCTAATGGTGAATTTGATGCGGGGTTTCCATCCATCTAATCTTGGGGTTCGGGTTTGAATCCGAGTTCCATCGGATCGGATCCTATCTGGCCGCCAAGACGTCGAATTTCGCCAAATGAGAGAGAAGAAAGGGGCAGTTTCCAATTTTTGAGGCTCCTGAAATCGTACCATCCGACCATGCAAATGTAAATTCGAAGCTAGTATCTGACTCCAGTAGGAAGAAAAAAGCAAACAGAAAAATCTTATCCACTGTTAAAATCCGACGATAAAATCATCTCTGTCCCATTGGTCTTCCAAAATTCATACTCGGCTTCATTTTCAGCAGAACAGGTCCTGGTTCATCATCCTCATCTTCATCTTCAGAATCATGTCCTTCTCCTTCCATACCCCTCCCGTCATCACCTCCACCACCAATCGACCTATTCCTCGCCTTTTTCATTTCCAAGACCGGGCTCGAGGTGCCTGCGCTACCGGTAGGACTAACTTCTTTACTACCCGGTCTTGAGTTTTTAACTTCTTCCAATTTCTCGGTAAGCGCTTCAAGGAATAATTCATCTCTGGCTGGAACATTCGTAAGACATAATGGACCTGTTAGAGGGCGATCATAAACTTCTTCATCGTCTTCATCTGGTAGTAGTCTATCGAGCGCGATTCTTTCGTCTTCATCCGGAATTGGCGCTAGGGAACCCCGATGAACAAGTCCATCAAAACCTCTTGGTGTTTCATCCCCTTCTGCCTCTTGAGACTCTTTGACCAAATCGGAAAAGCGTGAAATGGAATGATTAGGTGTGTGGCCCGCATACATCGTTAATCTCTTATTTTCTGGTTCCAAATGTGCTTTTCCTAAGCTCGATCCAACATCTCTTCCTGGCGGCTTCACATTTGGACTTAATCTCGGACTGGCAGACCTGGGACTTAAAACATGTGCGACGAATACTGGATCTACGGCGCTGGCTTTGATGGGTACACCTTCGAGATGTGGAGCGATTTTTGATATATCTATACTATCCGCTCCTATGATATCACCATTGTTACTTTCGGCCTTCTCCCAATGTACGGCAGAATGATATGGATGTAAGAGTTCCGGTGATGCATATTGAGATGATCCAACAAAATCAGACGGAGTCAACTCCTGAATGACTTGAATCGGTGTTTGTCTGGGCGCATGAATGTCTTCGACTCTCAGAGCTTCAGATTCTGCTGAAAATGTTCTCGTGGGGTTTTGTGGTGCTGGTGCGTAAAATGGGGATCCATCTGCATTTCTTCCTGTTTCTTGTTTTATTTCTGGGTGACCGTGCGATGATTTTTTCGATTCTGTACTTCCGCTTCCTGGAGATGCGATTGCTTTCGTAGGACCTTTAATGATCGGTACACCATGTGGACTAGTGAATACGTTTGCTGCTGGGCTGAACCCTAAATTTGCCAATTCCAGATTGAAGATTCCAGCTGGTGATACGACATCCCCTTTTTCTTTCAATCTTGCTTCGAGTTCACGAATTCGAGCAATTAAGATTCCTCTCTCCTTATCCCATAGTTCTCGTTCTTCTGCTATAACTTCAATTGCACGCTGCCTGTCTGCCAAGATGTGCGCTCGTTCCCCTTCGAATTGTTCTCTCAAGTTGTGCGAATATCTTCTGAAGTCTTCGACCAACTCGGCAGCAGTATTTTCTGCCGAAGCAGATCGAGTATGAGGAGGAGAAATCGGACCACCGCTGGGAGATGAGTGATATTTGTATTGTGCTGGAGAAGAGGTATTGGGAGGAAAGAAGGAGGTGGGAGCTTGGCCAAGGTGATGTAGATGACCGGCCATTGGCGAATTGACTGTAGAGCCGGAATGAGAGAGTGGTAATCGAATTAAATGTGCCATATTTAGAGCACTTGTTGCAGAAGAGAAGGAAAGAAAGAATTGATAGGTTGTTTTAGAGGTGAATTGTGTGTTGTTTATTTGAATTGGGGATGGTTGTATTGTAGGTATGGCAAGGTATGGTATGATATGATATGGTAGTGTATAATGTTATTAGATGGGTTATGAATAAGGTCATACCCAGGAGATTTCTTGTGATGGAATCGTTTGAAATCGTTTGAAAGAATGGATTGAGTGGGTTGAGTGGATTTCAAATGGGAGTAAATGATCCAATATAGCAGCTACCTAAGTACCGGTATAGGTGGTGGTAACTTATTAGTTATAAGTCAATGTAAAACTTGTCGCAAGCTGATATCAAAATCTAATACTGGCTCAGGCTGATCACCTTCTGGTGTGTGGGTGTATGGGTGTGTGGGTGTGTGGTATGGGTGTGTGTGTGACTTGAGTAAGGTAGCAATTGGCAATCAGCAATTATCCTCGGGACGGGATTATGACGGAAGAGCACGATCCACTTCCTAATCAAGTCAGAGTGAAGTGAGAAAAAAGAAAAAGAAATTCTTCTTTCTTGCTTTCTTTTATGTCTTTCTTATCTGATCATCGTCCTATCACCTGCGAACAAAAGTCATTGATAGATTTCTTTCTTCTCTCCTCGTCCTTTGCTCTGCTGCTCTCCATTCAAATATCGGTGTGAAAGGAGGGAGGGTAAGAAAGTAATAAATAAACAAACAAATAAATAAATAAAGCACCACTACCTAGCATCCTCTCCTCACATAATATATCAAAGTTCTTATATACTCCGTAATCTTTCATACTTTCCATCTACCTATCTATCTACCTTGTATTTACTCATCTACCACACATCCATACCGATATATATTCTGGTGTGTTGTCATTATACATCCAATTTTATTTGTCCTTGCTGTCTAATAAATCCCACCTGGGAGACATATGCAAATAATGCTGTTACTGCATAAAATTCATTATTCCGGTTACTCCATTCGGCTTTCATCTATCAAATGTGTCAAATTGATTGGTTCCCTTGGGACTAATGATTAATGACGGATCGGTCCGTGAATCATAATTGCTTGAATTAAAGGGTCTTTGTGAAACCGGTACTAATATGGGCATAATTTTCTGATTTTCGGCAGGTGATATTTGGATATTTGGATGATTATTGATTCTTTTTCTTTTTCTTGTCTCTCTTCCTTTTCCTGTCTTCTCTTCCTTTTGCCTCCCTCTCTCCCTTTTCCTGTCTTCTCTTCCTTTTTGCCTCCCTCTCTCCCTTTTCCTGGCTTCTCTTCCTTTTTGCCTCCCTCTCTCCCTTTTCCTGTCTTCTCTTCCTTTTGCCTCCCTCTCTCCCTTTCTCCATATCCTTTCTCCATATTTCCCCTTTTTCTCCATTCTCCCCATGCTCCCCCTCCTTTTTCTTCCCATCACAAGATCGATGGATCCTCCATCCAAATGATACTTTAATATATCTCCCGGGAGATCTCCTTGTACCATTGACCATTGACCATTGACCGTTGACCATTCCCGTTGACCATTCCCCGTTGACCATTTTCCATTTTCCATTTCCCATTGATGAGGTAACCATTTCCAGACATCAGACATCCAATTTCAAATAATAAATCCGTCAATCCTATTTTTCCCCATCTCGCCCATGTCCCATCCATGTCCTGCAATCCCTAACCCTTAAAAAGTGATCAGAGACCCAAAGAGGAAGAAAGGATTTTCAGGGCTCGGCCTTAGCTTCTCTTCACGCTTTACTATAAACCAAAGAATTCCCAAAGAAATCTCCCCTGAACACGTCACAAGCGATCCATCTCTTTTCTATCAAGGCACGAAAGGCACGAGCGAGAATCAGATTTGCCCGTCAGCTCCATAACTTCTTCATTCCCTTCTCCATTTTTCTCTCTTTTCTCTTTTTTCTCAAAAGAAGGCTGTATGAATGCCTGAGTGCATCTTCTCTCAAAGCCGAAATCGAAAGAAAAGCCGATAGCTATACGATAGGTCCTAGGTAGGTACACAATTATTTTCCCGCCCCCGAATTTACGAACGTGTTGCCAATCGTTCCGAACTCTTTCACGCCCATGTTTTACATCGTTCTGATTGAATGACAATCGTCCGGTGTACAGGCATGCGAGGGACGAGAGATCGATATCAAATGGAAATCCATGAGGCGAGAAAAATAAATTACTGTGCATCCTCGTGAACAAGGTGGGTATCTTCAAAAATGGAAAGGTCTAGGAGGGTCAAATTGCCAGCGAAGTCGCCAGTAATAGAATTGAGTAATTGGGAGAAGGGGCCACAGCAGTTTGGGCAGAGATACGCCTCCAAAAGAACCAAACGAAACGAACGATGAATAGTCACGTTTCCATCATCTTCTAAATGGAGCCTCAATGTCTTGGTTTTGGATCCTTCTCTCTGGAAAAAGTGATAGAGATGATGGAATTGTTACGATGGTAACATGGAGATTTGCAACTCGGTGGTCGATGAGTATTATATAGTTTCTCGACTTTTTAAAGGTCCAGAAAGTTCTCCTTTCTCTGTTCAATCATTTTCATTTCGTGTTGCTTTGTATGTATTTGAATTGGTTGATATTTGTCAATCCACATCTCTTCAATTAAGTGTTTTCTACTTGCTCACTTGCCAACGTTTGACTTGACTTGCATATTCCTTATCTTCTTTATTCAAATTTTCACTGCGTGGCCACTTCATCATACATTTTTATTCAATCGCATATCTTGTTAAAGACCAATCCACACCGCAACCACGATCTTCCTTACATACAGCCAGTGCCTTTACCAGACAATCCATTCGATACCTCAGACATTCAGGCTTAAGCCAATCATCAATGTCACCACCACCATCACTTTATGCCTACCCAGAACGTAGGCGCGAACGTAGACGCACACGTACACAGACCCATCATGATTCTTCTACCCGCAGCCCTTCAACAGCATCCACCCTCCACTCCCCAATCTCCAATGATAGCGTCGATTCCTTGGGCAAACCTCGACTCGCTGACCAAACTCAACATCGATCTCATCGATCCCGCCATGCCCGTCCTCCCTCCCACTCCACAAACAATACATCCAATGAACGTGTCTCGCACTCCCGCTCCCCCGCTGCTTTCCCCTCCACCATAGCCCTTCCTACCCCTCAGGCTTCAGCTCCCACTCGTCTCCCTCCTTCTCCCCCATACTCTATTTCAGACCCAGTAACCTTTTCAAGCGCTTCCACACTCATTTCGACTGAAGCGCCTCCCATTGCACTCGAATTTCTTAATTTCCTAGATGACTTGGGGATTTTGATGCTGTGCAAACCACTCCTAGAATTATGTAACGTGGAATGGATATCATTGTTTGATGACATGGGGATTTTTTACCTGTGTGAGCCGATTGGAGCGATTCGGAGGATCTTGCGCAAATTGAGGATTGGGAGAGTGGATAGGGAACGAGGCGGTGGAAGTTGTTTGGGCAGTAAGGAGAGGGATACCGCGTCGTGGATTTCGAGTCTCAGCAGTATAGCGAGTGAGGTGAGGAGTGTGAGTGAGAGGAGCAGGGAGAAGAGACATTCTGCTAGTAGCGGGAAGAGTAAGGGGAATGAGGGGTTGAAGCCCAGGGGGAAGAGAGAGATTCCGAGGGGGAAGAGAGAGAATGGAAAACAAGCTGAGAATATCAATGGGATTGGAAGTGGAAGTGAAAGGATTAGTGGTGCGAATAGAAGAAGAAGTGAGAGGGCGGCGAGTAGCATTGCCGCAAGTCATTTGGGACAGAGTTTGAGAGGGGCAGCACCTAAATAGAAGGATTGTTGGTTGAAGAGAAAGTCGTGGAAGATTTCACGTTTACCATTCTTGCAAACTGGGAAACAGGAATGTCGGGTTTGCAAGACGACGGTTTCGGGAACATCTGGAATGGAATCAGGATTGAGTGAGATGACATTCTTTCACTTTTTCATCTCAGCATCGAGATTCGAGACGAAATTTATTCGGCGGATCGTTCGTATTCAATAGCGATATGTATCGCTCGCGCGGTCATATCATGGTTTTACTCGCTTGCTGAGAGCTCGAGAGAGTCTATGTGTACGGCACAATTACCTCCAGGCCTTAATGTAATAATCTTTTGGATCTTCGACGCGTTTTGAATAATGCTCTCGTCCTCCTTCATTCAGGCTTCTTTTGCACGAATTAATGTATTCTGATATTTTGTTTTTATTTTTGTTTTGTTTTTATTCTTATTGCATCTTATTGCATCTTTTCTTCCTTTCTTCTTTCTTCCTTTCTTCTTTCTTCCTTTCTTCTTTCTTCCTTTCTTCTTTCTTCCTTTCTTTCTTTCTTTCCAGTCAGTGTATATTGAGTGTATACTTAATACTTAATGAGGAATTTCGTTTCCGGAATTGTTTGTTTGTTTATTCGTTGTGTTATCTATTTATTTATTTATTTTTTCGACGGCTGGGTCTGGGTTTGTTTTCATAAAGATGGGGATGAGGCTGGGGATGGAGAGTTGTGTTGGGAGAGAGAGAGAGGGAGGAGAGGGATTTAATGTCTAATGAATTTATGATGGGGGCTTGGTATACTTGGTGTGTATTTTAGGGGGGTATATGGGGGAAGGGAGAGGAGAAGGAGGGAGGGAATATATTGTTGTAGTGGGGGATGGAGAGAGAAGTGAATGAAGAAGTGAAGGAAAAGAGGAAGGAAGGGTAATGATAATAAGACACAGATTCGCTTCGGTGATGTATGTATGTATGTATGATTCGGATTAGGATTTGGTTCGGGCTTAGTGGATATGGATATGGATATGGATATGTGTATTTGTATTTGTATGTATATTTGTATGTATACCACAGTTTCAAGGATGCAGATGTGAATCTTGAAAACTCGGGATTTGAGATTTGAGACTTGAGACTTGGGATTTGAGAGGGATTTTGCTGAGTGGGATGGGGATGATGATTGGAGATGATGATGGAGATGATGATGAGGATGATGATGGAGATGATGATGGAGATGATGATGGAGATGATGATGGAGATGACGATATATGGTTTGTTAATAATATATAAATAATCTAAGAATGATATCCATAAATACCACAAAGATCAAGAGGGATAGGTAAATCAAGATGAATTAGAAATCAGAGTGAGGTAGGATGGAGCAGAATTTGGATGTTATATATGGAGATCCTGAGTTTGATATATAATGTAATATGATTATGATTATGATTATTTCCTTTTTTCTTTTATTCTTTTGGAATAGTAATATAATATGATCTCGAGAGATATTTTGTGGTTCTGTTGTCGTTATTATTTTCTTAAATCATATCTTATATACCTTAAGATCTATCTAAATCCAAATTATATCTAAATCTAAATCTAAATCTCTCTCCTCCCCTTCTAGATAAACCTCTCAACTATCAACTCTCAACCTTTATAACTCCGGGAGTAATAAATCGTATTATTAACTTGAGTAAGAATCCCCCCCTTTTCACTCTCATTAATCAATCGATTGATAATTCAATCAATCAATCTTTCCTCTTCTATAGTTTCATATTTCCCCTTCCAAAATACCAATAGACAGATTCAACTCCAATTCCAATTCCAAGTCCAATTCCAATTCCAATTCCAATTCCAATTCCAATTCCAATTCCAATTCCAATTCCAATTCCAAATCTTCACTCCCTAGCATTCCTCTCTATTTCCTATACAAAAGAATCTATTCCATAATCTATTCAATAGTAGAATATCTAATGATAATTAATATAATTATTATCAAATATATATAGATAATGATATTTTTATTTTCATTCATCTTCATTTCATCTTCATTTTCATCTCATCTCATCTCATCGTATACAAAGTATAAATATCAAGTATCTGAAGTACATACAAGTACACACATATATATACACACACCTACATATATATCTCTTCCCAACCAAACACAAAACACAAACACAAATATACAACTCTACATCTCCCTCGAGGTCCCTAACCTTAACCGGATCCAAGTGGGTCAAAAGGGGAGCGAACGGACACCTCAGTACGTACCCTCGGTACCCTTCCCTTATCCAACCCACAATCCCAGTGCTCGCTCACACATCAAAATTCTCCGAAGCGAAGCACTCCACCTCTCCACCAACGAAACCCACCAATGCGGCAAAAAGTTTAAAAAAAAATTCCATAAATATTTACTCCATTTTTTCATGATCCCAAATCTGTATAATATATTTCCACATAATCCCATCCGCCGCATCAATCATAATAAGTCTTCGTGGCTCAGTTGGTTAGAGCGTTGGTCTCATATTTCTACGTGAGGTAGTTGATAACAATTACTGTGCCATCCAAAGGTCGAGAGTTCGAGTCTCTCCGAGGACAGGAATGATTTTTGGGTGGGAGTTTAGTTTTGGCGGGGGGTGGGGAAGGTTTAGTTTGTTTTATGATTGATGGCTTTCGGATGTATCTGTAGCCTGTTTTTTTTTTTCGAGTATTGAATTCATAGATAGGATAGAATAGTTTAGGAATGAATAGGCTTTGATGGATTGAGATCTGAAGAAAAAAAGTATCTACATAGATGAATGAATGAAAGATCTCCACTAGGTAGGAGACCGAAAGAGAGAGAGATAACCAAGGTGAAGGGAAAAGAAAGGAGTATTTAAAAAGATTTCGAGAAGTAGAAATGGAGAATAAAAAAGGGGAGGATTTATCGACATCCATAATATCTATTTCATTATCCTTACTTAGCGAACCCGACTTAGTCCAAACCAACAGACGTGAAGTTTGCTAGATAGTTCGGATAAAGGAATGAAGAATGTCAAAGATCAATAGAACTTTTTTATTTTAATACGATATAGTAACGCAAGGAGACAAATGAATGGAATGAGATGAGATAAGATGCGGTACAATTTAGAAATTTTACGAGACATAGCCATTTCTTCATAACAACATACTAGATGGAATAGAGTAGACACTCAACTCATTCCGTTTCGATACTAAATATAATCAGAACGATTGGCTATAATCATATATAAAATCCATGCTGGTAGATGCTATATGAATCAGAGTGTAATGAGTTACTTTCGTTCTCTCATGGGTATTGAAGACGAATCAAGTGTATTATATTACTAGAGTACTATATTAGTTGTTATCACGGTGCTTAGTACGTACTCCCAATAGAAATCAAGAGTTCTAATACACATTTTTTTTTGAAGAACGAAATCAAAGTCAACGAAGTCTCTCCTAAAGCCTCGAGGAGAACTTGATAGACATGACGTAGCACTGTCAAGCTTTCAAACCCTCTTTACAAACATTAATATTCAAAATGTTGGAAGATAAATTAGTATTTTGTGAGGTGAATCAAACGTAAAGAGTGAAATGAATGAGTTATAAGTGTAATTGAATATTCAGACATGCAACAAGATAAAAAATTGTCGAAACTAACAAGAATATTGACTTTCTTGACTTTCTTGCCAGTGAAGATATCAAGGTTGGTAAAAAAACAAGAGATAATAACTAGAACAACTGATGTGAACGCGCATGCTAAATATTGATGTGAGTGATCGTGTGATCAAGAAACCACCCCGTTTCAGGACCTCTTCGAAGGAAGAGACTCACCGACTATTTCAATTAGATGAGGGATGTTGTTGAATGTTGGGATGCGTATACACATATAGGAACATCGAAAAAGCAGATGACTATGCTGTACGTATATCCCGACATGATAATAGACCAACACACTTTGATGGATGTGAAAACCCGCAAGCAATAGAGCATCTCAATGATTCAACACCCACTCTCACCCCCACGCGTCGACCTGAGATGAATCTTGCAGTTCAAGCCCAGCCTTATCCATGTTTCACAAACCTGATAACATTCTGCAAAGAACAACGCATATAGATAGAAACGACAAAAGCAGGTGCATATACGTCAAGCAATCAAATATGAAGCTATGAGCATAGGAGCAACGACCCGAGGTCCGTTAATAATGCCCACGAGTATCCTGCAACAGCCCGATCTCGGCTCAATGCAGATCATCTAGCAGAAAGGAGCTTTCCATACCGATAGATCCCCCAAAATAGGTAAAATACGGAAGCGCAAAGGTAAGAGGCTCAGTTTTCAAGCTCAACCAATAATTCTCCTCTGCCAAAGAATCGCGAAAATTTTTCACCGCATGAAAAGTCTGCTACCAAGATTTTCCCGACGTATATTCTTGACCACAAGATCAGATGATTATTAGTTCGGTCATACCAAGTCTCCCAAATATGTTTTGGCACGCGACTTATGCGCATAAAGCTGCATAAACTTTATGCACCTCTCTCTCGCCATCCGGGAAGGTGGATTCCGGATAGGCTTAAGGGCTTCACCATCAGCCTAAGGTGTGTTAACTGAAATCACCAATGGAGATGGATTAGATAATACGGGAAGGTATGGCTAGCAACATTGACTGTACTGGAAAATGCGGTCGGCTTAAATGCCTCACGGAAGGATTTGGACGCGCGTTAACGTTTTCCTTATTGGATATAAGAGTTGCTATTAAAATTTGCGGTGTAGATGGAGGTTCTGGGCCAATTTACTCCGGTTGACCGCTTCTTGATAATTTTTTTGAGGCTTTCAACCGAGTATGGATGAAGTGTCGCAAGGACATTGGATAATGTAAGAGCTACTTACTGTACGTTAACGAGCTGAGAGTTAATAGCTTGAGACCTAGATAATTCTAATATAAGTGCGCAATTGTGCAGATGCTCGTATTTTGATTGTCTTGAGTCATGCTGAGAACTACAGGTTGAGTAAAATAAGATCGTAATACTCCTCGTTGACTTTACATGCACGATATGACCACATTCAGATACATGCAGAATCGTGCAGGTACAGTATTTAGAGTGTCTAGATTCTCCTAGGGAAAAAAGCTTGTTTGGAAAAATAAGAAATTGGTAGGAAAGCCAAGAATAAAATATATGACGGTAGAATTCAATGAGTATGAAATTGATATTGAGCGATGAATGTGGCTGTCATCGCTCCAGAAATGGAATAATTCCCAAGGTTCGGAAAAAGACGTCCGTTGAATGATAAAATGAAATTCGAATGGTGGTTGTACATGACAAGCCATCGGCGTCAGTACTTGATCACAATGCTAAGCCTAGGCATTGAAGATTGAAGATCATGACTGGACGTAAATTCAAATTGTACTGAATTAAAGACGTTGTTCAATCGCCTTGAAGATTGTCTAGGTAATATAGATGCCCACGAGCTTCAATGATTGCTCCGGAATGAAAGCTGACAAGTCATAAGAAAAGGCGCGTGGTGTTCAAAGTGTCGACTTGTGCGGTAATCAATCTATTGGATGACATCTGGCGAAGGCTTCAAGGTTCTCCTCTAAGATCCAGCTCCATATCATATTTGGTGTGTGTAACCCAACGGTCTTGAATTCAAAGCTCCATGTTTCCATTTGATGTCCCCTTTCACTCACTACCAGTTGGCAGTTGGCAACACTGCAGTGCAGTTGGTGGGGTGTCGTCGATACCCCGCCATGGTACGTGCATACTTCAGTGGGTTATCGGCGGTACTCAAGGATGTTTGACAATCAACTAATCCCAATTGAGGTCTAAAGTCGAACTGTCGCCCTATCACATTTGTGGGGAAGGGTCCTTGAGACTAAAGGATGAACGTTTGTGCAAGTATCGTGAGATCTAAAAATCTCATATCTTCTAAGATTCATTAGATTAGCACGCACAACTAGATATTGATTAAAGGAAACGTGTAAGGGGCAAGGGGCAAGATGATAATCACTTGGCATAGAAGCATTTTTGTGATACCTCACTTGACCTACTTGCAGGTCTTGGGATTTTGCCATCATCGCCAAAATGTGATTCGAAGTCAAATACATAACTGCAAGTAACTGTCGCTTTCCATAAAAGTACCAAAATGTACTCTACATAGGAGCGACCGACTTTTGCTTAATTTTAACCTTGATCGTCCCGTGTTGTAACAACGAATGAGGCTTACATTTGAGCGATTTTCGAGCCCACTAATGTTGTGAATCAGTTGTACCCGTTACCTGTTGTAAGAACAAAGCAGGACGATTAGGATTGTTGAAAAGAAGAGTGATTTCGGTATCACAATAATTATAGCCGCCCCATGCGCAAGGTCTTTTGGCCGAATATAACTTTAAAAAAGTCAAGTAGCGACTTGCTGAGATATCTGAGAAGCCGGATCTTTCAAGGATATCGATGCAGGCGTCAATATATATGAATCATGGAGATCTAGAAACATATAGTGACCAAGTTTTTGCCTGCTCCGTCTGCCTTATGAGAGGCTCTTCAATGGACATGATATTGTTCCTTGCCTGTCTGGACACAACTTTTCCATTTCTCCTAGAGTACAGGCGCTGGCTGACAAGTAATCTCGGTAGTAACTCGTTGAGTTACTGTAATTTCACGACATTGTGAAGCACCTGTGACTCCTTCAAGAACCGAGAGATGAAAATGATCAACAGCACATATTCTTCTTCGGGTGACTCGGACCTCAGACATGGCGACGGACATCAAAAGGCTAGAAATCTATTGCATGCACATCATGCATGAAATGATCCCTTGTTCCTCATAGAAGATAGAACAATTTGGCGACCCCCAACTTTTCTAGCGTTCCTCATTTCCTCCACCTCATACGCACAAGATCTTCTCGGCATTATATCTAATGTAGATAATTCTTCCGTGTGGCTTGACTGTTTAGGTGGGGAGGTCTAGATGTGCTCGGAACCGTGTGTAAGTAACATTCGAAACCAGCTGCCAGGAAGATGGATTGAGTGTTTGTTCAAAGTTCAGATAACAACTAATGTATCATCACTTGGACAATTCTATCTGCAGAGACAGGCTCTTTTCGTGATAATATCGTCTGCTCCATTTCTGATATCCGTTTGATGACAATAAAGCCTTGGCAAAGGTATACAAGGCGTCCCTCAATCCGCTGTTCGTTCCGTGCAATGCAATACCGACGGTTACTTTTCTCTTGGCTTTCATATTAAGAGACAGATTCGAGATCTATTATCGAAGATTACCTGCCTTGGCGATTCAACAACTCAACATCCAGCAAAGAGTGAAAGTCAATTGTACCGTAAGCTTCGAAAACGAGAAGTACCATTCGTGTACTGTACTATTAAGTGTTGTATTTTGGCTTGGCTCATACAATGTAGCATCAAGGTAATATTCTTCCAAATGTAACCAGCCTTCGAAGAAAGATAACTGTACTCGGAAGGAAGGTCGGTGAGGTAAGTGACCGTGTTGTAATAATTAGAAGCTGAAAGATTCGTAGGATTCATTGCGTGGGATGTAGATGAATTGATTGGAATAACTTCATATTTGAATGTATGTGCCCAAGTGGGTTTGAAAGAATGAGATAAGATATTGGTAGTATGCATGTAATGTAACTAGGTATTAAAGTATAAGTACCTACCTACACATTGAAGGGCGGAATCAAGGCGGAATGGGAGGAAAGGAAGGAAAGGAACGAAAGGAAAGGAAATAAGCGAAGAGGTTTTCTAAAATGGTCTCGATCCATCGATAACAATCACAATATCAACATGAATATCAATATCAAATCCAGACATCTTTCAGCTCAATCAAAATGTACTATTTGGCATTATCTGCATGCAGTATGTAGCATTCAATGCCCCACTTCATACCATCAGAAAATTGGTAGAGAAATTAGAAGAAAACCCTTTTGCATCATTCCTCGACAGAGTTCATGGGCCAATCTCTCGGCATGGAGTTGCCGTTTTCTTGTCTCTTCTCATTGAAGAGTAATTGAATATTATCACTCTATTATTGACCAATTAGATTCACTTCCATGGCAGATCCCTTTGTTCTTACTTCGGAGATATAATTGATAAGAAAAATAAAAATAAAAATAAGTCATTTCAACAATAGAATCACGTCTTTCCGTCGATTTATAGCCGGTAGAGTCAATACGTAAATACCGGTTGGTCGGTCGGTCGGTAGATAGATATCTTTATTATACCGACAGGTACATCATATCAAAGGCAAATGAGAAATATAAATATTGATACGCCATTCAATGTTACCAGCATGTAATAGAAATCTATCAAAATGGATGTTGAAAAGGGAAGAATCATAAGCCCAACGCCAAAAAGCCAGCCAAAAGCCATCATCGTCGTTATCTAGCACGGTAGACACGCAAGCAAAAGCTAATACTAGGGATTTTGTTCGCAAAACAACATTCTTCTTGTATGACCCCAAGACAGCAAGCATTATCATTATTACAGTATTTGCGATCAGCCCGCATATTTTCACAGTACTAGGTATTACTTATTCCTATTTTATACGTACGCCTGCACATGCAAAGCCATCCCTGCCTACCTTGATCTCTGCCTTTGCCTTTCAATCAAGGTATCACGGTTCCATATTTCACCATTCACCTCCTCATGCTCCGCATCAACCAAGATCTTCTTGAAGCCTCTCTATTCGTTCAAACGTAAGATATATACCTACGCACCCTTCTTTTAATTCTCAACAACAAGTTTGCAGGTTTATTTCTTCTACCAAGCCTTCTATGCATCAAGCCTCGTCTTCGCAATTAACAAGAACCTATCAGATCCATTTCTCTCCCCTCCTTTGACCGCGGTCAACCAACGGCCTCTTCCTAAGAATTCATCCAGTCCTTGGATTTGATTTCTCAATCAGACTAAAACTACATCATTGCTACTTTTGTCTCTCATCAACGAGATCATTCCGATCCTTCTTATCATGTTTCTTTTCCTATAATTTATATTTAATCCCTCCCGGAGAGAAAGTGGAATCAGTCAATCCTATCGCATTGTTCACACTTCCGAGAAGATACACTTCAAGAAGATACCACAATACAATTGAAGCAGATTAGAAGTTCTAGATCTACAGAACTACTAGTGAACGATTACAAGACAGTTAAACGGTCTCACAGATACTGCTTCTCCCACTTGACCAGACCGAAACCAGACCTAGCCCTCCCAAGAAAAACTTTATACTACTCCTCTCAACACGCTACTCGATTCAACTAGCCCACGAGTTGAATCGCTATTTTATATTTTAGTAACTGGATCACTGGCACAAACTTTCAAATTTCAGAATTCAGAACCATCAAACTTTTACTCGTCATTCGTACTTTCCTGACTCTTTCGTTGATTTGTCTCAAAGTACAGTGTCAGCTCACCAGATTAGCAATCATGGCGACCACTACTTTACCACTTACTCACCCTACGTTGTCTTCCGCTTTTCCTAATATCTCGAATCAATTACATCATCCTCCTCATATTGAATTCAGTTCTGCTTCTGCAGAATCGAGTCGACCTTCCTCGATAGATTCTCGTCAAGTCGATTCCATTCCCGAAGAATACGAGTACGAGACCAGCAGTGAAGCTGTTAATGAGCCAGTAACTCCTACAGAGTTCCAAAATCCTCACCAAAATCCTAAAGCACTCACTGGAAGTGAGATTACTCATGATCTCATTCGTAAGCTTCCGCCGTCTTCAATTCAACTTCCTACAATAGTCAGTACTATTGCGACTCCTCTACCTCGATCGAACGCGCAGACACCATTCTCCTCCCTACAACCCATTAGAGGAAACACAGACCCATCTTCTACTCCAACTCCGCTTTCGAAAAGACCAACTTTTACTACAAAAGACTCGGGTTTGAGAGGTAAAGTTTCGAAGTTCTTCAAGAGGTCAAATTCTCAAATTGGAACTTTAAGTACAACCGTCTTGAATGACCAGACCAATCTTACAAATCCGACTACCCTTAAAAACAATAATGGTTCCGATCCAATGTTAGGCAAAGAGCATCGTCGAATGTCGATCGGACGAGCATCAACTTCTACTACAGCACTTACCTCCCGTACGAATACACCACCTTCACCTAGCGCTCCCTCAGAAACGCAATCATCGCAAGAAAACTTGTTCTCAGATATAAGACCAAGCGAGAACCTCAATATGACTAAGAAACAAAGATCTTCGACGGGTCTAAGCATGAGCCTGATGAATGTATTTCAGAATCATGGACCCAAGATTGTTTTTGATACATCGGCAATAGAAGATAAATCCAAAGCTCCTCAACGTGCCACAAGCGTTGATTGGGATTTGAATAATGGCTTTGCCACGGAAGGGGTGCAGCAGATGTTGCGTGAGCCTTGGGCCATGCCAGCCGAGACTGGAATTGGTTTGAAATCAAGACGTATGAGTATGAGTCTACCAGATGACCTCCTTGTTGATGTCGTAGAATTGGATGAAGAATACCATCAGCAAACTACATTCATAGGACGTCGTGGAAAACAGGTCGGTAAAGGTGCCACAGCCCATGTGAAACTTGTCGTCAAGAATGGCACAAGCAATATATTTGCTGTGAAAGAATTCCGTGGTAAGTCTACGACGGAAAAGGAAGAAGACTACGAAAAGAAAGTCAAATCGGAATACTCGATCGCAAAAGCCGCCCGTCACCCAAATATTGTACAGACCTTTCGACTTTGTACACACAACGGTCGGTGGAACCATGTGATGGAGTACTGCGAACAAGGAGATCTATTCAGTCTCATTAATCAAAAGTACCTCAACAAGGAGGACCATCTAAAGGATCGTCAATGTTTATTCAAGCAACTTATTCAAGGCATTCAATTTCTTCATAGTAACGGAATCGCTCATCGAGATATCAAGCCTGAGAATTTATTGATAACCAAGGATAGTAAGCTCAAGATCACCGACTTTGGTGTTTCCGAAGTCTTTGCTGGTATTCATCCTGGTTTCAGAGCCGCCAGAGGTGAATGTGGAAAGGATATGACTGAAACCAGACTTTGCGCCCCTGGCATCTGTGGCAGTCCTCCCTATATTGCCCCAGAGGTTCT